TCTCCATTTGAATGTGTGGGTCCTGGTCTGGATGGAGTTTCCCACAGTTTGAACCAATCAGAGAGCAGGACAGAGAGAGAATAGAAGTCTGGCCTGCCACATGCTCAGTGGTCATGTTGGCCCGGACAATGGTTGGTCTCAGGGGATCAGGTGGGCAGGCGGGGGGTGAAACCAGTCAGTGAGCTCTGCATGATCCTGGGAACGTGTTGATCCTGAAGCCTGAACCTGATGCAGTGATCAGTAACTTTGACTGATGAAAACAGATCCGGATCCACATCTGTGCTCCAGAGACGGAACAATAATCCAATCCAATTGTATTTATATAGCGCATTTAAAAACAGCATGTCAGCTGACCAAATCACTGCACATGGCTAAAAAGCCATTCACAATACACATACATACACATTAAACACAGATAAAAGCTGTCATAAAATAGAAACATCTACAAACAATGCAAACGTATAAAACAGCCCATAAAATAGAAGTCAATAAAAACAGAAGTCAGTAAAACAGAAGAGAATCACAGCATAAAAGACCGATCTCATCCAAATGCACAACTTTAATATAAATTCTGTGCATTTAGCTTACTATTTGTTTATGTTTCATTTATGACCAGAATGAGTCTGAGAAAACAGAACAGACCCCCGTGTTGGGTCTGGGTGGTTCTGGTGTCTGTATCTAGTTTCTCAGATGGAACAGGTGTGTTCTGTGTGGTGTGAAGTGTTGCTGGTGTGAGTAGAAGGTTCCTCCCAGTTCTCCACACGCACTCCATCATCCAGCTCAGCACTCCACAAAAGGACTCTCGAAGGAACTCATGTGGCAGATGCTGGTCGTGTGTTTGAACACAAACAGGTCCTGATGTCACCAACCATCTGGAGGGAAACTGCGTGATTGGCTGCTTCACAGACAACAGGATCAGGGTTAAAATTAAAATCTCTTAATGTTAAACGTGAGCAGTCCGATAGCTCTTTTTAAGTGTTTAAATGACCTGAAATTACAGTTGTGTTTGAATTTTGACTTATACTTGAGACAGAGGTTATGCCAGATGATGAACAACACCGACCACAGTCAGCTGCTGGCAGGTGTTCTCGCAAATGAAGCTGAACTTTGACTTTCTGTTTGTGAACTTTTCCACACCTAATTAAAAGTTTGGCCTGGGCTCACTTTAGTTGTGTCAGCATCACAAATTGGACCAGATTTAACTAAAGCTACTTACCATCTGGGCATTTCCTGGGCAAACGTGCAATGATAACAGTAACAAATCACTGTCAGGATAAAATTGAGCTCAGGTTTAAGAATAATGTACTAATTTACTATTACTGCTTGACATCAGATACAAAAATACATGTAATAGAAATAAAACTATAGTGCAAAATACGTGATAAATACAATCATTAGTACAAGTCATGAAGACAAAATGAAGACACAAAATACATGCAGCCTTGCGCTGAACTCACTGATTATTGAGGATATGTTGTTTTTATTTTATCTCTAAGTGAAGTTTAGTCTGCAGCTACATTCCCCAGAGTAGGAAGCAGGGAAAAGCATTTTGTAACCGGCCCAGTCATAACCCAAATACGGCAGTATTTAGTTTCCTTTAGCTTAGCATAAACAATGTAAGTGAATGGTAGCAGCTAGCGTTGCAGTCATTCAAATTTAAAGACAGTTACTTTCGTAAACACGTCTAGGCTAATCCCCGTACAGTTTTTGAAGGAAGAGCAAAGTATGTTGATTATGTTTTCATAACCACACCTCGGCCTGGAGGAAGACTCATCTGAGAGGAACACAGCAGAATGGCTAAATGAAGACGGGGAAATGTTAAAACATTTGAAAGTAATTTGCACTTTCGAACATTGAAAGTTGTCAAAACTTAGCATGGTGTGTTTGCTAAGAGTGTTAGAATGACATGTTTTTGGTCTGCTCCCTATTAGACTTGTTCATAGAGTCTTAAGATAGGATAACTGATCCTGGTCCTAGACATTCACCATCCAGCATGTTTTGGGTGTTTCTCTGCTCCAACACATCAGATTTTATCCACTGAGTGATTCGTGGGCCTCTGCAGAGCTTGACGAGCTAAGCAGGTGATTCAGCCATTTAATCAGGTGCGTTTGAGCAGGGAAAACTTCTGAAACATGCTGAAAAGCTGCCCTCCAGGACCAGGACTGGTTCTTTCAGAGATCTGAGAGGTTTGACTTTTATCTCATTGGTCAGGAACTAATGAATGGTACAAAAGGTATAACACAAAAACATCTTGCTTCCTGTGTGAGGCTGTTTCTGAGGGTGAAGGTGTGTTTTTTTAACAAAAAAAAACATTTTTGATTTGTTTTTTAAATCCAATAATTTGATCTAGATGAACTCCCAAATATTTGATTTCAGTCACAATTTTTAATTTTGCTCCTTGAAACTCATTTATGTGTTCATCTCCAGCAGGCTGGACTACTGCAATGGTCTTTAGACTGGTCTTCCCAAAAAAGCTGTGAAGCAAACCTGTTCAGAATGCTGCTGCTAAGAGTCTTAACAAGAACCAAGAGAACCGAGCACATCACTCATGTTCTTAAATCTCTACGCTGGTAAACTACAGAATCCACTTCAAAGTGCTTTCATAAATCTCTCAGTGGCATGGAGACAAAGTATATGTGGGATCTCCTTCCAGTGTGTACATCCAGCATGGCTGTGAGACCTATGGGAAACAGTCATCTGCCCCATGAGATGTCTAAGCTGCAGCTGTTACACACCTGCTTAGACTCTATTAAAACCTGGATGGCTGGGAACTTTCTACAGCTGAAGGAAGATAAGACTGAGATCCTCATCTGTGCCCCAGACAAGCTGGTTCCCAAAGTCAGAGACTCTCTTGGTCAGCTTGCTTCTCACACCAAACCCTCGTCAGGAATCTTGGTGTGACCTTTGACCCAGCTCTCACCCTGGATTCTCATGTCAGTTCTCTTGTTTGCTCTTCCTTCTTCCATCTCAGGAACATTGCTAAGCTGAGTCCCATTCTGTCTCGCTCTGAACTTGAGACTTCTCCACACCTTCATCTCCTCACGCTTAGACTACTGTAACTCTCTTTTCACGTGTCTGAGCAGAACCTCCCTGAACCGTCTACAGGTGGTTCAGAATGCCTGTACTCGGCTTCTGACCAAGTCCTCCAAACACACCCACATCACCCCGCTTCTCCTCCAGCTTCACCGGCTGCCAGTCAACTTCAGGGTTCATTTCAAGATCCTGGTTCTGGTCTATAGGGCCTTACATGGACAAGCACCATCTTACATAGGTGATCTTCTTAGTCCCTACACCCCCAGCAGGTCCCTGAGGTCCAGTGACCAAAGCCTGCTGGTTGTGTAACGCACCAGGCTGAAGACCAAAGGTGACAGATCATTTGCTGCTGTGGCCCCCAGACTCTGGAACTCTCTCCCCCTGAGCCTGAGACCAGTGGACTCTTTTAAAAGCAGCTGAAGACTCATTTGTTCAAGCTGGCTTTCGTATGACCTTCTTCACCACCCTCTCCTTGTTCTGCTCTCCCCACCTATTCCACCTTCCTCAGGATCCACTGACTCTTTCCTATTCTCTCTCTCTCTCTCTCTCTCTCTCTCTCTCTCTCTCTCTCTCTCTCTCTCTCTCTCTCTCGCTCATTCTTTTCATTTTTAATCACAATTGTTTATTTTTGCTCATTTAAAATATAGTTTTAATCCTTTTCTAAATTATTTTTTATATTTTACATTTTTTGTTTTTGTGAAGCACCTCGTGATTTTTATCTTGAGAGGTGCAATAGAAAATATCTTTTCTTCTTCTTCTTCTTATGGTAGAACCTCGGGTCAGAACCAAACAGGATGAAGCTGCTTTATGCTGCACAGAGATGGAATCAGCTTCCTCGTGACCTCAAGCATGCCCCAACTCTAGAAACTAAAATGAAAATTTAAAACCTTCATGTATTCATCAGCCTCTGACTAAATGCTTCTATGCTGCACCTTCTGTACTGTAACTGCTGCTCTTTTGACTTTGCCTTTAATCTGTTTTTTGAATCTGAAATTTATATCTACATTTTTTTATTGTGTTTGCTGTTCTTGCTTCTGTAAAGCACTTTGGATTACTTTTGTTTTTGAAATGTGCTATACAAATAAAGCTGCCTTACCTTGCCTTAATAGTTAAACTTCCAAGAAGATAACAAAGAGATAACTATTCCTCCTCCTCCTTCTTCTCTTCATAATCATCCACTTCCTCCTCTTTCTGCTGCTTCGTTTTCTCCTAATATCGATGCTACCAAGATGCCAAACGAAAGATTTGGATTTTAATTTCCAGTTAAGATAAAGGGCTCAAATGTTCTTATCTAAGTATTGGAGAAGAACCAAAGTTTGGTTCCTTTTCTCATCACTGGGAGGCGCCAAATCCCCATTTCGTTGTCATGTCCAAAATATTTTACTGAGCAAAGAGTGTATTCAGCAGCTTTAGTTGTCAGTTTCAGAATTCAGCACACGCTGCTAAATTCTCAGTTCATCTAATTGTGAAAATGTAACTAATAAACTATTCAGACTCAAAAACCAGCTGCTGTCAAGCTTTTAAACTATGTTCTAAAAGTTCACTTTTCTGCTGTTTTGGATTTTTTTCTCCATTCTTCTCCTACTTTTTGGCCTTCATTACACCTGTTGGTGATTTTTGCCTCTAAATCTTTAAAGATAAGTTCAGCTCATTTTGATGGTTTAGCTTACTATCAGCTTCAGTTCAGCCATTCAGCAGCTTCAGCATCCAGTCTTCAAACAGTGTTTCTGCAAGAAATGCTGTGTATCTAGTTATCTTTGTGATCTATTTTGTTATTACCCTGATTTAAGTGTTGATTTGTCACTTATGTAAACAGAAATCAATTCCCTCTTTCAATTTTTTCCCAGGCCAGTAGGATGCAACTATTCTCTCTCGATGTATCTGGAGCAGGAGATGGAAAGAGGCTTTCTCAGTTCAATGTGGAGAGCTGATGAATGAATAATGAATCCAAAAAGCACAGTGTCATAGCTAATTAAAATCTCTTTATTACAACCACATGTACATCAGTGTATCCCAAAAAACTTGCTGTGGTGAAAAGTGCTCTTGCACAGACAGATGGAGGTGGTGTTGCAGGCTGGATGGAGCGATTGCCAGATGGAGTAGAACAAGCGTTTCGTTCCCCAGCAGCAAGTATCTCCACTCCAGTGTGCTTTTAATTTCACATCACATGAGGACAGCAGTGCTATTTTCAGCCGTCCTTAACGTAAGCAAAGAGAGGACGGCTTCCCTCCTCGTCATCCATTATTCAGACTGTTTGAATCACAGCCGAGAGAGAAAAGGGAAAATATGGAAACAAACGTTTGGATTCTTTCTCTTCTCGCTGAGTGCTCTGCGTGTTTTACACAAACTGTTTGACATTTCAGGGAAGTCTTCTAGTTCTCCGTTTTCAGGTCAAATGAACACAAGAATGTGAGTTAAACACCGACACATCCAAGAAGATATACTTTGCACAAAGGCTGGAAGACGTGGCAGATAGGAGTAAGTCACGCTGCTCCAAAGCTGCTGAGTTTAACTAATGAGGCTGTTTAATAAATGTTCTGGATCCTCTGTTGGATTTTCATAATAATGAAATCAGCTTTAGAGTTCCCTCTTACCAACAACTTTCATCCAGAGCAAAAAAACACAACCAACCACGCCAAACCTTCCTGCGAAGTATTTCGTTTCATTCTAAAATGCTGATATCTGATTTTAAAGGAAGAAAATTCTTCTTGCGAGGGCAACACCAAATATGACTCCATATGCCTGTTTTTGTTTATTTTTTAAATACATATAAAAAAGATTGGTAACGCTTTATTAGCACTACTTGGTGCACTATTATGCATTAATAAACAAAGAATCCCTCTATAAACAATCCCAATAATGTTAACTATTAAGTATCCTTAAGATTAGGACAAAGGGCCTGGGGTTGTCTGTTAATACTTTATTTAATAGTTTATTAATGCTTAATAATGCACTAAGTAACACCAATAAAGGGACCCTTATTGTAAAGTGTTACCAAGAGATATTTTGTTGGTCTTCTTTCCTCAGTCAGACTCCAGTTCTGCCACGTCTCTCCAACAAACACACAAAGCTGCTTGTTGTTTGAAACAAGAGAGAAAACAGAGCAAGGAAATTGGATTTAAATTATCTAAATATGAACATGGTGGGAGTGATGCTACTCTGCAGATGTGTGGCTTCAGAAACTAACAGACCTACTTTCCATGAGTGTACCTCTGTGTGATGTACAGCCTCCATCAACCTACAGAATCACATGGTCAAACCTCCAGAGGCGTCGGATGACTCCATCATGTCTTCACTCTCATTCGCAGTGTGTGATAAAATCAATATATACATGTCATAACGACACAAAACAACAGTAAATTCGGTTTTAAAATTCCATTTAAAGATGGTAATATTTATACTTCATGTCTCTCTGAGAAAAGTTAATCAACCAGCTTTTCAATTAAGTAACTTAATGACATTCAAGGATCATAAAAACAGTTCACATTAGTTTCCAAGCCACAAGGAAAATATTGAAATATGTCCAACACAACCACAATTAACTATTTTTCCTCCATAAATCACTATGATAGTTTCTAAAGAAAACATCAACACACACACAGTCATTCTATCTACAGGTGTTCCACTGGCCTCGGTCCCTGGTACAGCTAGGTAAGGAAAACATTTTATATAAAAATGATGTGCAAAACGTTGTCTCCTTAGGTTCCTCTGGTGGAAATCAGTGTAAATATCTACATCACTGTTGTTGTAGTAGATGTCACCATTACTGTGCACTGAGTTGTGCATCTGTTTGATCTAAAACTAATGACTGAATTCACTGAATACCTGACTCCGCTTCTGTCTTATTAAAACTATCTTGAGGTATTATTGCACTTGTTCCTGAACTGCAGATCTGACCCAGTGCAAAGTGGAATGTTTCTGACACCATCTGGGGCTCCGACTGCCCCGGGCTCAAGGGATGCTGCAGATTTCTGCACAACCTGATGTCAAGTTGATCGTCTCTCCCTTAAAACTGCTTTACCACAGTAGCTGCAGATTTCAGTAAATATGCATGTGCAGATAGAGCTGTAAACATCCTGACAAGAACAGTTACGTTGGCAGGAAACGAAAGCCATGAGCTGTGGTAGACTAAATATTTTATGCTGCATTCACATCTGCAAAAGAGGAGAACAAAAGTTGCATAAAGATGCCACTCTGATGGATGGAGCTCACTTGATTAAACATGTTACTTTTATGCTGCATCAGTTTCCTGCAAAGCACCTATTGTCACCCTAACCCTAACCCTCTGTCAAAAGACCAGAAGACGCATCCAGCAGCTGAACGATGAGAACAGAAAATAGTCAAATAACAGTTAACAGAGGGGTAAAGCTAGTGCAGGGGTGGATTTTCATTAGAAAAATCAAAGTAATGGCACCTTTGCAACTATTTTTTGTAAAATTTCCTCCTCATTGTTTGATTCTCAGTGGGACATGTCTTTACTGGCTTATCCACAGTCATTTTATGGCATTATCCTGAATACAGCAGAAAACATCAGTCAGAACATTTAAAGAGCAAGTCACCCCCAAACCAACTTTTTTTTCTGATAAACGACATGAACGAGTGTCTAATCGTGTTGCAGACATGTGTAGTCAATCATTTGGAACTTCAGTGCATTTTAGTTCAATTTTAAATATTCTTCCTAAAGCTGTCAGTGTTGCGCCGTCGTCAGGTAAAAACTCTGCACTGTATTTGAATTTAAATCTGCCACCGCTACTGGCTAAGAGGTATGCTATGATGTAAACTGGTATATTCTGATGTCACAATGCCATTGTAAGCCTGTGTGTTTGTGTATTTGTTAGCTGCTCCGCCCTCTCGGTCTGACAGGCAACAGTATTTGTTGCATTTTTCAAATATTAAGTGGGAGTGAAGTAAGTCTCTTGTAGGGGGTGACTTGCTCTTTAAGTTGTGGGTCAAATCTTCTGTGACCTACATGACAAAAATATCCCCTCCCACCAATCAACACTCTTTTATCTGAGTTGCAAAACTCACAGATCTACTTGTAAACAGGTAAACGTTCAGGATTTGGCACTGCATCTTTGTTGTCTGTTGTCTGCTGTTGTCATAGAGACAAACATATTAACCAGTATTGCTCTGCAAAAAGGTCCAGTTTCAGGTACAAACCCTGCTGTTTGTAAATTTTTTAGATATTCTGTGGATTAAATGTAACTAAAATATGTAGCATGAAACCTATGGTGCAAACATACAAGCTCATTTGGCCTCATTGGGTTGTTTGTCATTGCAAGCATCATGCACTGACTCACATTTTGTCCCGAGTGCTGTACAGAGGTCATGCGCCCAGACAATGCTATCCGTTGTGATGTACAGGAATGACAGTGGGAATCCTTCTATCAGACGTACGTGTAGAACAAACAATCCAACATTTCCGTAAATCTGATTGCTCCTTGTCTTTTACAGAGAAATTAGAAAATGGATATCAGCTTCATGCAACAGGAACAAAAATAAATATGGAGGATCTGTCTGAGAAATGAGTCCCCAAAACACTTTAATTGAATACATAGTTGATTGTGAACACACGCTTAGGACCGGTTCACATGGCAAGATCATTTTTGACCTGATTCTTCCCATCCAACAATCTTAAAATCACGTAATGGCTCTAAAGATAATCTTCTCAGATATTCCTGCTGTGTGTGGTTTGTTGCACTAAGAGAGCTCTGGTCTGCTCGGAAGAATGTCTGGACCAGTCCAGTCATAAATCAGGGTGAATGGGACGTGATGCAACTTTTTTCATATTTTTAAATACTTTTCTTGAGCCAGTGCTAAAATGAGCCTTTACAGGGTTTATGTAAGGCCGCCCAGCCCCTATCGCCCCATGTGGCCAGAAAATCACGCTTGCAACTTCACAGTTGCCGGTCCGCTCAGTTGGACTTTAAAAAAAAACTGAGCTGACATACCTGGTGCTGCTGTCTGGCTCCAGCACGTTTCCTTCATGCTTTTGATCATGAACACAGCTGATTTTTTAAATTTAATGATGAATCACTCCTCTGGACTCTTAGGAACGCTGAGAGACGTTTCAGCTGTTAGATTACGGTGTTAAAAAGTCGGACGCACAGTGAGATTTTTTGGTTTTGCTTCTACAAACGGGCACTAGGGGGTGCTAAAAGCAAGCCAAAACTGCCGTCTCCCTTTAACACGTTGAATTGTCTTGGTACAATTTTGGCTGATGCACACTGCATGCTCCTCCTCCGTCATGTTTCTGTTCTCCAAAGTTACATTTGATCTCACGCGGTTTTGCAGGATTTCCCGTCTGACCGAAATGTACGCGAGTGAAATCGGTTCGTGTGTAGCGTGTGGTTTTTATTGTGTGGCTGTACACCACACACTGTAGGACCAAAACTAATATATATATGTGATTTTTTTTCACCACTTGTGGGTCTTTCCTGCTTAGGAAACTGTTAGACAGTTTTAAAGTCTTGCAGTGTGAACCGGGCCTAACAGTCAAATACACAAATCTTGATTCTAGATATGCTTCCTGCTAAAATTAAACCAGTTTTGTAACTGTAAAGTTTATCTATCAGGACATAAAAAAATGCAAATATTTTAACTGATCAGAAAAAATACCTGACCTGGTGTTGAGAAAACCATGAATGGGGTGTTGTTGGAATACAGTAGCTAATGAAAAGATTGAGATCAGGAAAAATGTTTAATTTATCTCTTTATAAGAAGTTTCTTTAGTGGGCCCGGTTATTTGGAGCAGACTAAACCGCTGCTGATTTGTTTAGTTTTTTTTTTTTTTTCTTATTTTACAAGCTTGAACTGCTGCTCTGCATTGGGCTTGTCTCAGCACTTCCTGTCTACTGTTGCCTACTCTATTCTTTAATCTCTTTTTCATTTTTGCTCCTGTGAAGCGCCTCGTGATCTTTTACCTCGAGAGGTGCTGTATAAAAAATTGTCTCTTTTTCCTCTTCTATTGAAGCTGATATCCACCTTCTCATGAAACTGAGAAAGACCTGAAAACAAGCAGATGTTTGGGATCACACACATTTCTCACCAAAAGAATTGCAATTAGACGCAATCTCCATGCGGTTACACAGTGGTGACTGTGAGCAGGGAACTTGGACACAGCATGGTCTCCTGGTTGTCCAACCTGTTTCCATGAGTCAGCAGTTCCTCCACTGTTGTCCAGTCATCCAATAGCTTTCTGTGCCTCAGACGACTCAGCTTTCTTTGACTCATTTCCAGGACCATGTTGCATCGTCCTTCTGCAAAAGGTCCAACTCCTCTACTTTCTAGCACAGCTCCATCTCCAATGGAGGCCCCTCCCCTGCTGGTGCTGTGTCGTACAGGCATGCCTCTGGCCATCAGCTGCTGCTGCTTTTGCTCACGAGCCAACAGGAAGTGTTCCTTCCTCTCCGTTCGACTCCAGTAGCGACCGAGCAGCATGTCAGCGCTGGTCTCTTCATCGGTGCTCATCCCACTGCGTTCATCAGCCAGCTGAGATGCCCTGTCTCTGAGCATCTGGCTCCGTGTGATCCGTGAGGGTGGAATGGGTTTGCCGCCAAGACCAGGTTTTGACTGCAGACCAGAACTGGGATTAGGACTTGAATTCCCATTTATTTGTCTATTCTTTGCGTCACATCCAACGGTAATTCCAGCTCCTGGTGGGCCCTCCAATGTGCTATAAAGACCTCTACCTCCTCCACCTCCATTGGACTGACGACTGGCTGGTTTGGGCCATGTGTCATTGACGTCTCCAGCTTGTGGAGGGTGGACATGACTTAGGAGGGGCTGCTGTTCACTGGCTTGGCTCCTCTCCAGCTCCTGATGCCTCTCTCGTTCCTTCTCCTCCTGAATCTTTGCCTCCCTTTCCAGCTCTTTCTCCTTTTGAAATTGACATTTTTGCTCCAGTTCCCGTTCTCTCTCTGTAATTATTGCCTCAGGTATCAAGACTCTTTCCTTTGAGTGCCACCAGTCATTGCGGGGTATCTGGCCATTGTTTTCATAGCACCGCTCATTGTTGCTTAAGCATCTGATGTGCCCCAGAGCAGTTGGGTGTTGTTGGGCTGACAGGGCCATGCCTGCTGGGTGGGAAGCCACCACACCTGCTTCTAGCTCACCGTCCTCTAGCAGGCCCGGTGGAAGAGCGCTTTGTGGCGTGACTCCTCCACAGTAGTGCAAAGTCGCTGCACAATAAGATGGAGATGCTGGGTGGCTAGCCCGTCGGCGGTACTCCTGTGGAGGAGGGCGATGGTGGAGGGTCCGGCTTCTCCTCAGCATCCCAACTGAGCTCGACCCCTGGTGGTGGTACTGCTGCTGCATGGATACTTGTGGTCTACGGTGGCTGGAGGGGGTGCTGCAGGTGGACAGGACTGGAGCAGTCATTCGTGAGACCCCAGCGTGGGAAGGGTTGAAGAGCGCTCCACTGCTGGAGCTGTGACGGTTCAGAGAAGGTCGGTCAGCTTTGTGAAACTGGACCGACGAAACCCTGTCAATGAAAACATTTCAGTTACGACATGAACCGAAGTCAGCATGTGGGTGATTTAAAAGTCATGCAATCATACAGCAACACTGATTATGCTTCAAACTCTAGAAATCTGCCTTAAATGAGTCTGAACTGGTCTAGAAAGATCATTTTGTTTTTGAAAAGATGCAACAGAATTGCATTTTTATTGTGAATGTGTAAATGTGCTGGTGTGGCTTGACTTAGAGGACCAAAACACAGTCAAAGCTCTGGAGATGCAAGAAGGGGAACAGTTATAACCCTCTCAGGCTCAAAATAAGTTTTGATAAAAGAACGAACAACTGAGTCCTTCAGGGGTACATCTGAGTTAAAAATGCTCATGAAATACGTACGTGGAGAAACCAGGTAGGTAGGTTTTAACGTTGCACATCTGCAACGCCTGCCTCCAGAGGGTTAAAACACCTCCAAGGGGCAGCGAAGCGAAGCGAAAGAAAACAAACAGATGGCTGAGTGACACAAAAGCTTGACGTGTAACATAAAATTCATTCAGAATAAAAATCCAACTAAACTGAAGAGAGTTGATAAACAAGCTTTTTCAAATGCTTTTGGAATTTAGTGTCAAAAGGAGCAGAAAGCACCGCGAAGAAGAAACGAATATCAAAAACAGTTAAATTTACTGAATTAAACTTTCATCCATCTTTCACCTGTCTGACTTCGTCTTCATCATCTTCATTATTCACACCTAACATTTTATCATCAAGCAGTGCCATTCAATACCAGACAATTTAAGATCTTTTTCACTTCACCGGTTTGCCTCTCACAACTTTCCAGACCAACCGAATTAAATGTGATAATCTAATTACCTGAAAAGACCACGAGGTGGGACATCCATGACGGGGCCTGCGCCATCGTCCATCCCATGCTGCAGGTGCTGGCATTGAGGCTGCACCGTCAGTGCTTCTGGAATGGCCTCCAGCAGCTCCCTGTGGCTCTTGGGGCAGCTGTCACGCCTCTCACGCCTCTCACACGGTTCGCCCTGATGTTGCATCCTAGCGTTGTACAGTCGCATTCGCTTCTCCAGAAGCCTCTGGAAGTGCCTGAACTCCCCGGTGCTCACGCTGTAAAAGCCTGAGTCACTGAGCTCCGAGGAGATGAAGGACTCTGAGGAGGGAGAACCACCTCCAAAACCCCCAAACCCTGGTGCAGCAAGGTTCCCGTGAGGATGACAGTCTTCTAGGCCTCCTTCTTCTGTTTCTAGTCCCGAAAGGTCCCCTTGATGAAGGGAGCCATCAGTCCAGCCCAGACCACTATCCAGCTCATGGTGGAGGGGCATGAAACCCATTGGCTTCTCCAGAATGAAGTCTTCATCATCGGTCTACAAGAAGACACACACTTATTCCCACATTTATGACTTTAATACACAAAACATGTGCTATAAATACAACAATAAGGAACAGAATTTCTACCCCATTCTGGGTTCAACCTTCGAGAATAGTTAAGAAAAAAAACTTGCATTGAGATTTGGACTACATGAAAGCACGTCATTTATTTGAGTTATGGTTCAAAATCATTTAGGTGACCACGTTCTGACATAACAGGGATTAAAAGAGCTAACGTGGCTCATGGGAGTTTGAATTTGGCCCAGAAGCTTGAGATCCAGTGAGTTTCACACCTGCTGGAAGAGTCTGGCAGGTGCTTTTAAACATAAGTTAAGCTGTAGGTACCTGGCTGTTGCAGGTGGTAGGTTCATCCACGTCTGGATTGCAGCATCCTGTCAGACAGTTCTGTCTCTTAGATTGATGCCTGGAGAGCTCTAGTTCCTGTAGTAGAAAAAGGTGTAATAATTCTATTCATATACTCATTTAGAGTGAGAGAGAAAAAAACATGCATTTATTATTTTCACCTGATGGCTGATGTCCACCGTGTCTTGTGGAGAACTAGACAGGTAACTGTAGCGTCCTGCTTCACAGTGCTCTTGAGGCAGAGAGAGATGACTGTAAAAATGCCTGCAGAAAAATACATTTAGACGTTTTAAATCACATTCTTCAAATCAGATCTCCTCATTCAACAACACAGTCAGGTGGAAGAGTCTAGCCAGTAAATGTGTTAACAGCTCGGCTCTTTTACGAGCACAAATGCGAAGTTTTACATTTGTTTGATGACACAAAAAGGTTGTTTGACTTTGTGATGGCACTCTTTCATTCCAGCATTAGGCTTGAACTCCTAACTGAGAACACAGTTGTGTAAACGCAATCAAAAACAGAATAGTTCAACACCTTTTCTCTTTTTCAGTAACAAAGATGAATACTGTAATAACAAGTTTACAAGTGTGGCAATTTTTACATTCCTTGAATCTTTTTGAAACATTGAACTACCATGGGGTCTGATGTGTGCACGTTTTAGCTGAAGTCATTTATTGCACAAACATCACAGAAATTACTATCTTTACTGAATTACTAAATGTAGGACAACTCATCGTCATTTCTTAGCTTCACCTTCCCTTAAGCTGCTGTCGAGTGTAAGGAGAACCTTGAGATTTAAAAGCGGCAACTTTGTAGAAAAGGAATTGACTGACTAACCCCAGAGTCTACACATGATCTTGCACCGTCTGTACATACCTGTCTGGGTAGGAGGGGCTAGATGTGTTCATCCCCACTCCCATAGGTGGAAGAGGTAGGTTGAGGTGCTGCAGATTAAGGGGAAGTGGCTCCCAGGATTCCCTGATGACATCAGTGCCTCGCCTCCTCTGACCTTTGATCTGTAAGGTGATTGGGCGCTGACTGGCTGCAATGATGCGCAGTGCATCCCGTTGGCTAAGGTGTGCTAGGCTCCGCCCACCTGTCTGAGGTAAGAGAAGCCACAGAGAACAGATGTCATTTGACCAACCGCCACATCTCGTTGACTGATGGCCTGGACAACAAGAGTCTTGGGATCACTCAGGGATCCCGCCACCCACCGGCTGACGGATCCGTCTCAGCCCATTTCTGAGCTTCCATTTCATCCAACAGAGCTACAGTTTTCTAATAGGTTTTGGAAAGAGTGCCAGATTTTGTTTGAAAGATGACACATTTGCAAATAGTTAACAAAAAGCTCAAACTGTGATAAAAAATAGCCACTTGTTCTGGGACTCTAGTCAACACGGTTCTGCACAGAATGTTCTGAGTAATGCCAAAACGTGGCCGGGACAAAAGTCTGGAGCTGCAAACAGAAAGCAGAAAACTTCCAGGTGCCCAAAGATTCTCCAGATCCACGTGTAGATTGCTTGTTTGTAGAGATGTTTGTGCTCGAGGCTGAACTGCAGCGTAAACAGAATATAAAGCCCCCAACTCTGTGGAGCTTTCCTGTGTCTTATGATCTCATCAACCAACTGGATAGAGAATCTGTTCTCAGTCAGAAGAAATAAATGATTCCTCGGACAGAAAGATTTAGAGCATTAATTTTGATTTTTATTCATATAAAATCTGTAAATTATTCCATAAAATCTGAATGACATCCCGAGTCGGCCAGAAAAAGTCAGATAAATCTCCGTCCGGAGGCAGGTCAACAGCTAATGGGGGCTCTAAGCTGCAGCAATACAGTGCATCCATAGCAACATACAAATACAGGTTTACAAGAAAAACAAATATGCTAATATATTCCAAAAAGAAAACAGTTATATAATCACTTAGTATTTAGATTTAGAGGGAATGAATACTAGTGTCTTTTGCTAACTGGTTTCCTGACTCTCTTTCCTGACAACAATAAAAACAACTGAATTAAAAATATGTTTTATATCATCCCCTCACAGTTGATGAGTTCAGGCTGCTGCATGGCTTTATTAAATATTTTAATTGGTTTAACGTTTAAAATCTAATTGATGCTCTATTCTCAAGAAAACAGACTAAAAGAAATAAAATAAAAAATAAATAAAATACTAGCACACACATTTAGTAATGTATATACCTTACATACTATACATATTATTACTTAGATTAGCCATTTTTATATTTTGCTTGTTTTTACGTTACTGTATTTTTGCACAGCTCTGTTGCTGTGAAGCTCGCACACAAGAATTTCACTCGCATGTACTGTACCAGTGTACCTGCACATGTGACGTGACATTAAAAGTGATTTGATTTGATTTGATTAAAAGGGCCCTGAGAAATCAAAGAAACCATTTTCTGAATCCATCTACAGTAAATCAAAATAAACCTTGCAGTTGTTGGGCAAATGCCAGCTGGGCCTTCAGAACAAATGTAGAAGTAGAAGTCTGTGCTGCTGATGGGGTTAGAGATGCTGCTTATCCAATGACCAGATGCTAAACAGTGACATCATGGGAATGAGCTCCAGTTCAGACGAGCACCAAGGAAAACCTGTTTCTGTTGATGCAACAATCCGAATCAGGATTGTACGCTGCCATTTTAAGTGCACAAATTTTTTTATGTACAAATATACGAATTCAGTCTTATTACACAAGAGGGCAGGAAGACCGCACGCTGACAGACGGAAGCTTAAGCACCACTCTGGCACTCAGGTGCTGCGATGATTAGATAAGATAAATATGGACATAGTTGCAATAAAGGGTTAATATTTAGGAATATGAACAAAACACACACACGCACACACACACGCACACACACACACACACACACACACACACACACTGAATCAAATTAGATGCATGAACAGTATTTTTAACTCCAGCACATCACAACCGTGAGTCACCCTCTGTTACACGCACATGCATGCACGCACGCACGCACGCACACACACACACACACACACACACACACAGTATGAGCATAGAAGCACAAAATGGCACCTGTGTGTGGAGACTGAGGAAGGCAGCAGATCGAGCGAGAGCCTTCAGGTGACAAAAACTATGCACAGACGTACACAGAATTCAGATTTTCACACATTCACACTAATTGGTGCTAATTGTGTCAAATCCTGATTAAAAATCACACATTTAAAAACAGTCTTGCAGTATGCTTTTGCATGCACATGCACACACACACACACACACACACACACACACACACACACACACACACACACACTGCACAGTAACATCTTGATTTCAACTGAAATACCGTCTTGAAAATAAAATTGTCATTTATGTCTTTATTTTCTCACCGTTTGGTCTTCCATCCATGGTCCAGACAGCCAGCAGCCCATCGCCACGGCAACAGAAGACAGCTGCCAAGGATCTTCTAAAAATCAGCGATGCTTCTGCTTTCCTTCAGCAGATCCTCTGCGTACCTTTTCACCACCACTCTCTCCTCCTCAGCATCTGCTCTCTCACCACTGTCCTCCAAGCTGTATCCCTTCTTTTTATCCCTTCTTCCTTCTTCATGTATTTCCACAGTAATCCTATAATTGCTTCTTTCCCGTATTGACTGATCTGGGTTTCAGCATTCTCCACTCACACACACACTTGCGCTCTGAGAAGCACGACACGCATACGTGCTGCGCTGCAATCATAAAAAATATGCGCAGGCTGACATGATGCGTTCAGAGATAGAGAGGGAAACATGCAGTCACACAGCAAGGATGGCGTCTGATTGGTGTCCTTCAAAGCGTTATCAGCCAATCAGTTGCAGTCTTCTCCCTTTGGAGGTTTTCCTCCATGTCTGAAGTGCCTCAGCAGAGCTTCGTGCAGGAGGCAGCCTCTACTGCAGCAGCACGCTAAAGCAGGGGAAACACACCATCAAACCATCCATTTTATAGCTGTTCATCTAGGATCCCCCACCAGCAGATGCATGCTGGGAGATGTAGTTTTGGTTCAGAATTTTGGAAAATAATCCAAAATTTCATTAGCTATTTATTTTTATTGAACGTTTATTTCTCGCTAAAGATTTGAATCCGTGGCTGAAGGGGGAGGAGGTTGTCCACTGATTTGAGCGGCCCCAGAAGTATTCTCGGGTAAGATACTAAACCCTGAAAGTTGCCCCCCACCCCCCTGGGTGCTGGACAAATGGCTGCCCATTGCTTCTCAAGGATGGGTCAAATGTCCCCAAAGGGATCAAT